AAAAAAATGTTAATAAATATAAATTTAATTGGTGTATTATTATGGAATTTTCTTAAAAAAAAAAAAAAAAGACTGGGCCTGGGCTGGGTTTTGTAGTTTTTAGTTCTCATACGTTAAATTGAATATTCTTTAACAAAAGTACAAAACAAAGTTTTAAAGCATATATATCATCTGAGGCTATATATATCATAAAGTTTTAATGCAGGTGCAATTTTTTTATATATAATGGATCAAAAATGTAGTATGATAGATAAACTGTTTAATGACTTACAACATTGATGCTATAATCATGGATCTCAAGAAAAGGAAAAATGATGAACCAGAAAACACAGTCAGTGAGCAAAACTGCACTTGCATTCATCTGTTTTATGCGAAATATCCAATCAAGAAATCATTAAAATTTTGATATATATATCATCGGTGTCAGATGATTTATTATGGATTTTGATCTTAATTACCTGAAAGATAATCTGAAAAACATATCCCCAAAAACCAGCTAGATTACTAGGGTATTGACTCTGTTGAAGAGTATGATCAGAGCCTTTAGATCTTGCTCTCTCTGAGCCTATGGCTTCGATGCTATCTACTCTATCGCCAGCCGCTCTTTCATTGTATTGGTAACATCCGTGCAGCGAAAGAAGCGAGCCTAACTGTTAAAGATATATCGAGAAGATATAAGAAACTTGAGCAATGTCACAAACAAGTTAATAAGCAAAGTAATCAGAGAGATTTTGAGACAGAAACATTACTCCGAAATAGAGAGTGATCAAAGCAAAAGTCCACCTGCAAATAAAAAAACAAAATAGACCATAAAAAACAGTTAGAGACCAAATAAATAACAGAGATATTGGTTTTGTGTCTATTGTCTAAAGATTGGATTCAAAACCAGTTCTTGCCCTCTTATCACAAAAAAAAAGTTTCAGTTTTTTTCTAAAACACACCAGAAACATTTTAATCAAGAATGTCACACTCTAGCATCTATATGATTCAATTTCCCACTAAATTGTTCAAGAAAGGTTTCGAAACTATTTTTCTCCTAAAACCCACCAAAAATCTTAAAATCAAGAATGTCACAACTCTTAACCAAGAATGTGACACATTCTTGCCTCTATATGCCTGTGAAACTGCAGACATTTTTGTCTCTATGCTTGTGAAGCTGAAAAACTTTATTTTACAACAAAACAATTCAATAAAACTTCCATTTTATTTTTTCCAAAAACCCACCAGAAATCTTAATATATTAAACAAATGTCACATTATTGCCTCAATGCTTGTTTAATTAAACCTCCAAAAATCTTTGCTTTCCCACAAATTCAAGAAAAGTTTCCCTTTTTTTCTAAAACCCAACAGAAATCATAATCAAAAACTCACATTCTTGCCCCAATCTTTGTCAATCTGCAAATTCCTTAATCACCCTTAAAAACCTCAAGAAAAGTTTCGATTTTTGCTTCAAAAACCCACAAGAAATCGAAATCAAGAAAGTCGTGAGAGAGAGAGAGAGCTTACTGTGTGTAGTAGTAGAAGATGGTAGGTCCATCAACAAGGCCAATAACGATCAACATAATAAGAAGAACGAAGAAGGCACAACTCGAAAAGCAAGAAGCCAAGCTGGATGAATATTACGTAGACAAGGTCTCCAAGTCTCATCTTCATATACATTTCCAGACCACTTTTTCTCTCCTCCTCCTCCGTCGCCGCCGCCACCGTTCCCGCTCCTTTTCCGGCGAAATCCTTCGTATTTGAATATAAGAAAAGCAGTGATCACCATCGCTATAGCCATCCATATGCAACAGATCATAACCCTTCAGTTAAACCAGTAGCTTGATTCCGTTGTGTTCGCTGTTGTTGATGGATGCCAAGCATCTTTTAACTCTGTATATGAAGATGGTGACAACAAAGACGATGACATTTTGATAAAGTTTCAATCTTACAGACACAAGACAACAACAGAGTTGAGAAGAAGAAAAAAAACAGAGTAAAGAAACAGAGTGTTGTGTAGTAATTTGGGGTTTTCGATTTTATGTGTGCAGAAGAGAGAATTTAAAAACAAGATTTATGGAATTTTTGAAATCTTGAGGAGATTAAAGATGTATGATGAAGCAAAGGGAGAGATTCGAAGCTTTTAAAACCATGTGTTCTTACACATAAAGAAAAAGAGAGAAGAGAGAAAATAAAATCTATATCTGATCAGATTTAAAAAGAAAAATAAACTTTTACTTAAGATGCTAATTTACTTGAGATATTGTGGAACAATTTCAACACAACCTCCATTCATCTATTTGGTTTCATCAGAATCTTAATATATGTTATAAAATTATCGGTAGTCTAGTTCGTTAACTTAATATATGTATTAATCTAAAAAGCATACATCTTTAATCTCCTCAAAATATACGAAAATTCTGATTATGTCTAGAATATGCTTCAAACTCAACCGTATATATACGGATTTTAAATTTATACCATACATATATATAGTTGAAAATGGAATGGATTATATATGTATGCTTTCATAAAGGTTGAGATACCTATTTTAGTATGCCAAGTTGTCAAACCTTAAGCTTATCCAACGAAATTTGAACTAATATTCGTGAACAAAAGTATTTTAAATAAGAATGTATTACTTTTTTTGTAAGTATAATTGTAGAACATATTCCTCTATGCTTTTTTTAAATCATGAATTATGGACCTCATTGTTTGAAGATATATAAATCTATATGGTGAACACTAGTTTACGGTTTGGTTTCAATTCAATTTTTGTTTCTGGTTAGCAAATTTATAAAAGCTAAATAAAATAATTTGAAATTCA